AGGTCACACAGTACCCCGGGGGTCCCCAGGCCAGCGGGTTCAATAGGTCACGCGGTACCCCAGGGGTCCCCAGGCCAGCGGGGTCGAGAGGTCACGCAGTACCCCAGGGGTCCCCAGGCCAGTGGGTTCGATAGGTCACGCGGTACCCCAGGGGTCCCCAGCCCCGCAGTGCTGTCCGTATTGCTGACTATCATGAAAGACCGAGTGGACTGGGGCTCCCCAGAACCAGGGCTGGGGACCCCTGATTTAAGGTGACCTATAAGACTGTGACCTGTGATGAGCTTTCGCCAGTTGAGGTAGCAGGACCTCTTACAGTCCTCCTGTGGTCCAGAGTGACTGAAGGCCCAGCCATGTGACACGTGACACCGCTGTTTGGAATGGAGAGGAAGACACAGGGGCAGCGTTTTACACAAGGCTCCCTCCTTCCTCCTCCTCTGATCCTCCTGCTTTCTCCTCTCTCTCTCTCTCTCTCTCCCTCTCCGCAGTGGATGAGGCCAGGAAGGCCAGGTCCACTCCCGCTGTCCTGACGGAAATCATCAGGGAGGAGGGAATGTGAGTCTGTGTGTGTCTGCTCTCCAGGGCAAGGGGAGGGGGTGTGTGGAGTTTAAGGCGCTGATGAACACAGGAAAGGTGACACCACAGAGCCTGGCTCAGCAGCCTCCCGATCCTACTGGCTACTTTCCGGAGAGTGCCAGGGCATTGACTTGAATAGCATGGAATAGGTCACCCGTTGCAGTCCCCCACCACCCTTTGTGTAAAGAAGCACATCCTGCCTCAGATGCACTTAAAGGCACCTCTGTCAGTGTGGGTCCTGTAGAAGTCCACTGGGTTGCCTTTTGCTTGTGACCTTTAAGGATTCACTGATGTGAGATCTTTTCTGATGGGACTGCAGGCACGCCTGAACACCAAAAACGGATGACGGATAATTCACTCTCGGCTTGATCCGGCCCTCGCAAGATCTTCCTTTCTGGCACCAGTTAAGGGGATTTTTGGGAACGAGCGGTTTTTAAGGTCGATGGGCAGGACTCCTAAAGCCTTCGGTACTTCTGATGCTAAAACAGCCGCCATTGACCGAAACCGAGGCCTGTACTGGCCTTCAGCCTGTAGCAGGGCAGGCAGGTTCTGTTTGTACTTGCGGAGTGATTGCAGGTGTGGGCAGTCTCTCTGTGACGCGACAGCTGATTGGCTGGCTGGACTGGGTACCTGGCGGGAGAGGAAGCGTCTTTGTCAGGCTGTCAGAGACTCGTAGGTGATGCGACAGCTGATTGGCTGGCTGGACTGGGTACCTGGCGGGA